CTTCCGCTTAGCCTACCGTTTAGGAATAGCCCGGACTATTAAATTTCTAGGTAATTCCTAATATTTTAGCCAACTCCTATATAAAATCGGAGATAAATTAAGGGCCCCTATCGCTAATAACCTCGTCCGGACACCCAAAGACTCAATACGGACTATAGTAGTATATTTCGGCCGCTTACCTAACTATAACGATATCCTTATAAGGAATATACTATAATATCTTCCAAAAACGGTCTACTATTATAAATATATTATTATAATCCTTCTCATTAATAAATATAAGTTTAAAATCTACTACTACGCTCCTCTATAATCGGCTATTACAAATTAGAATAGAGTGGAGCTTTCCCGGCGTTTTATCCCTTAGATATTTAAAAGCTTTATAATCCTAATAGTTGGCTATATACCGGTCGGCGTCAGAAATCATAACCAGCTATTAGTATTATTTCTATATTAATTTACAAGTTTTTACCTTACTCGAATAAATAATAGACAATTAATTATAGTTATCCCGTAGTAAATAGGTACGGCAATCCTCTTCTTTAGGCACTACTAACTTACTCTTATGATAAAATAATCCATTGTTTAAAGTAAAAGAGGTATCCTACTACGCTGTTTTTGCCCTATATACCGATAGTGAGGTAGTTTTATAATTCAGGTATAGTATCTTAATGATGAGAGTTATCCCGGATAGTATTTCTAAGGCCGTAACTGGAGCTGCCGTTATATTAGGTTAATTTACAATCGCCGTACTAATAAACAAAATAGTATATAATTCTGCAGTCCCAGTATCCTCTTTATCGCTAGTAAATACCAGGTATCCCTTATTATCCGGCTTTAAAAGCCGTAGAATATATTAGTCCTCTTTCTTAACTTTAATTATTTTTAAATTTTCTAATTTTGAGGATAGTGCATTAACTATAATATTCTCCTTCTCTAATCGGTACCTTATCTGGAATTAGTTTTTTAATAATAACTTTAACTAGCGAATTTATTAATTATTAAACACTCATTTAATATTAAAGAATTTTAGTGCCTAATAATTAATAATAATTATAAATAGTTTAATACCCTTTAATTCTAGTCTCTATTATTCTATTACTTTAACGATTACTAATAGTTCTTTATTATATATTGGGTAATTAAATTCAGTTGGACTTATAGTTTTGTAGTAGAAGGCTATAGAGTACTACTCCCTATCGGACTACTTCTAGCTTATAACCCTTACGTATACCCTCTTGGAGGCGTTAATCTCTAATTTAGTTTCTAATTTATAATCGAAGTAAGTTAGTATTAACACCTTTAATAGAGAATACTTCAATACGTTAAATACTTTAACACACCTCTCAAACCACTAAAAAGGAAGGTCCTTCTTAGTAAAATTGGATAATAGTCGCACTATATAACTGAAGTCCTTAATAAATTTCTAGTAGAAGTTATAAAAGCCTAGAAATACCTATATTCCTTTGATAATGATTAATTATTTTCAATTCTCTATTACCGCTACCTCCTCTAAAGCTACTATAATACCGTCGATACCGATAATAAATCCTAAAAATTTAGTTCAAACTATACTCAATTAGTACTACTTAATATCAACCTAGAGTCCGGTTTCTTACAATCTAATTAAGACCTTACGAATATAGTCCTTATAATCTTTAAAGTTATTTAAGTAAATTAATATATTATTAATATAGGCGCTATAGAATGAATTAAAGTAATTAATTAAAATATTATTAATAAAGCGGTAAAAACACGAGGGTCTTCTAATTAAACCGAACGGTAGTACTTTATATTTATAGGACCCGTACCTAGTCCGGAAAGTAGTTAAATCCTTATAATTTAGGTACATCCGCATCCGGTAGAATATTTATTATATAGCGATTTTATAAAATATTTTAACCTATTTAATTCGGGTTAGAGTTTTATTAATTAATAGTGACGGGTATTTGTCCTTTTTTAACAAAGCATTCAATTTTCGATCATCGACGTAGAATCTTAATCTTCTATTCGTTTTAGGGACGACTAGAATAAGCGCCGCCTAAGGGGTTGAATTAACTTCGATAAATCTTTTCTAAAGGTTTGCCGTAATATATTTTCAATATTCTTCTAACTCCTCCAAAGTTATTTTATATAATAAATTATATTCTAAATCGCTTAGAGACTTACCTTCCTCAATAATAATCTAGTAATTTACCTTTTTGTAGTAATTTAGGAGGGTATCCGAATCGTATTTACTAAAGACGTCAATATAATTATAGTACTATAATAGGAGCTTTTCTAATATTAGAACGTAATATTCATTGTTATTTGAAAGTAAAATTCGGTTCTACAAATTGTCAATTAAGCCGTTAATCTCGTATAGACTAGTAAATTCTATTTTCGCACCTTGGTATAAATAATATTCGAATATAATTGAATTAACTATTATCATATCCTTAGGTCTCTCTTTTACCCAACCAAACATTTTCTTTAATTAGTAAAGTCCTTATTCGTCGGTTAATAAATAGGGCATTTATTATTAATTTTCTATCCTATTCTTTCCGATAATAATAATAATCTTGTTCCCTATACTATATAACTATAGTACCATCTTAGCATAGGGTCCTTCTCCAGTTCCCTAGAGGGGAAAACTGTACAGTATTAAGCGCCGCCGGATGAAAACCCCCAACTACATCTCGGTCGTAGATTTCACGCCGCTCCTACTTTATTTATAGTTAGAACGGTTCTCACCTACCGCCACAGCGAACTGATTTTGTCTCTTCCACCGCTATATTATTCTAATATTAAAATAATAAGAAGAATAGGAATAGGATCCAAATTTAAAGTCCCGCTTCCTTTTACCATTCCTCTATTCTAATATTTACCGCCCCTTCCTTCGCTTTCTCCCCGTTACCCTATCCTATTTTCCTATCTATTACTTTACTTCCCCACCTCCTTATCCTATTTATAATTACTTCTACCCCAGCCCTTTACTTCCTACTCTATAATTTTACCTCTATTTATAATAGTATAAGGACCTTTTCTTTCTTCTATATAATCCTCCCTACAATACCCCTTTCTAATTCTTATCCTCCTTCTTCCCTATCATAATTCTTATTTAAAATAATTTCCTTTAACCGTTATTACCCTAATTTAATTAATTTAACTTCCGATATAAAAATTTCCTCCTTTAAACCGTCCCCTAGCCCTATATCCCTAATATTTTCAGAGCCCGCGGCCTTCGTCCGCTTCTTCTATAGTTTTCCTAACTTTGTAATTCCTTAAAATTAGTATAATCTCCTCCCTATTTTTCTAATCTATATATTAATCCAATTAATATTATTTATAAAATTCTTTATTCATATTATATTTTAATTTAATTATTTACCTAAAGATTAGTAATAAGCCTACCTCCTCCGACGCCTTCCGTACAATTATTATTAATAAAGTTTATTATATTTTGGCGTTTAGTAGGTTCTTTATCCTCCTATTTCTTTCCTTATTATTATCTAACTCCTATATTATGATTATCGGCTCTTTGAATACGACCTATATCTATATTGCTAATAAATATATATTAAACGTCCCTACTAATCTTTACGATATTTATAATATTATTTAGGCGGTAATTATTATTATACTATTAGGTAGCTAGCCTAGTTTTAATTAGAAATTTAAATTCTTCGTTTGTATTATTAATGATTTTACCAATCGTATATATATACGCTTAGAATATAATAACCTTTCTACTAATATTTATACTCCTTTCCGCCTTTTATATTTTAATATTGCCGACTTTTTATAAAAGGATTACTATAAATTAATTGTAAGGGATATTTATTATAGCCGTACCCCTTCCCTCCCTAACGGTAATACTATAAACCCGGTCCGGATCGTTTCTAACTTTAATAATAGTATTATTACTCTTATACGTATTATATCTAATAGTAATATTATTATTATTCCTATTCGTATAGTTTTTAGTATTAGTAATAGTAATTTTACTCCTAGTAATCCAATAACTATTAATACCCCCGGCTACTACACTCTACATAAAAATTAGGCTTAATAGCGCTATAAAATTAACGATAGTCTTATTAAAGGAAATTAAAAATAAGAATTATTGCAAGCCTCAATTTAGGACTTCGCACACAATTTTATTTAGTGTAAGTAAGATAGATGTAAGGTTAGTATCAAATTAATAATCCGTTAACCTCAATAGAAGTTAATAGGAGAAGTAATTTTATATAATAAATTATACGCTTTAGTAAATAGTTACTGGAATAACATAGAGTATTTAAGTATTTACTTAGAATACCCTATAATATTTCCCCTTTAAGGAGAAGAGAAGAGTGCTCGCTATTTATATAATATTATCAAACTTAACTATATATATAGAAGATCTAGTTATTTATCAGAACCTCCATTTATTATACTATACCAGAGGAGACCTACGACGTTGTAACAATCTAGGAGCCGGGTATTATAAGGCTAGCGCCCAGGATCAAAGACTCGGCTTTACCAAGTCTACCAAGGCGGGTCGGACGTATCGATAAGGATACGAGCCTCCTAATTGGTCGGATCCACATATTTACCTAGCCCGTACGCCCGGCTATAAAACCTTCTTTCGACTACACCCTTCTAGTACAATCTTCCCTTACTCTCTTTATTAAATATAGCATTTCAACTATTAGACGACTACTCGCTATACAATACTCTAACAAACCCGTTACATTATATTTAACCCTCTTTTTAAATATTCTATACCTCACCTATACGCCCGAAGAATCTCTCTCTATCACTCCCATTCCTCTATAACTTTCCTATCTACAATAATAACGCCAACCGCTTTCCCTACAATCCCTTAATCTCAAAATCCCCAAAAACGTCTACAATAATTTATAACCGCCTTCTAAACATTACTAACCGAAGTTATTTTAAGGCTTACCGCCGTACTAAAGTAAATACTTCCTTAATTCGAAAAGTTTTTAAAGAGTAAGGAAGAGTTCGAAACCTAGATTTTAAACGTACAAATTAAATTCTATTTCAATAGATCCGCTATTAACAATACAAAAATACAATTTTATTATCTATTCGCTTACCTATCGCCCGCTATTAAAAAGCCGCTTATCGCCTTCGCTATTACATTACAATCCCCCCAAAAACTCTTTAAAAAGTTTAAATTTACTTATAAGGACCCGAATATAGTAAAGAGGGCTAATCAAGAGTTATACTAGCTATATTAAAAACCCGGCTCTAAAGAATCTATAGCGGCCTTTATTACCTATTTCAAAGAAATATTATACTATGCCCGTATAAATTCCTAATCTAACGCCGCTAAAATTAACTGAGTCACTACTACTTTAAATGAAAATTAGAAATAATAATTTACTAACCGAACCAATATACCTAAATAATATTCCCTACTATTAAACTACCTTCGCCGTCTTAATAGCAACTCTTTTCTTTTCGCCTCAATATCAAACTCGCAATAATCGGTTAAGAACAATAATACTAATAATCCTATAAATACCTCTATCAATTTTACTACACCAATAAAAATAAAGGGGAATAACGACATTTCCTAAAAGTAAAAGAATAAATAGAAGAAGGAAAATAAGTATACTAATTATAGTAATAAATCGTACTAATTTAAAAAATACCCTCGAATTTCAAAAATAAATATAATCTAGCTACAACCTAATAGGGGTTCAAACGGCCATAATAGTAATACTAGAGGAGAAGAAAATTCGGACTAAATAAAACCCTAATAAAATTATAATAGAGGGAGGTCTATTAAATCCGCAAAAGAAGGACTACTAATAATTATTTCAAATATATAGCCTACTAATCAAATATACAATTAATTTTAATCCTACCCCTTTATATATAACCAATTTAATACTAATATCTACTACAATACACAACCGTTAAAGGATAATAAATATAATATTTCGTAAGTATAAGGATTTATTAAAATTACCCCCTAACAAAGGCATTACGAGCGCCGTAATAGAATAGCAATTACTACTAATAGAAGAAGTAGAATAATACAAAACACTAAGTAATAGCCTTAATTCTAACTATCAACCGGGCATAGATTTACAACACGGTAGGAAAAGTCCCCGAATAAGTAAAATCTAGAAATATCCCCTAATTAAATCTTAATACCCACAGCCACAAGGGCGCAATTCTATAAAGGTAATAGCGGGTATATTAATCGCCAATTCGGGTAAGGAATAGGGAATCGTATAATATATATTTAGGAATTTAAATAAAGAGATCTTTTTTTTAGTATTATTATTCGTACCTATTTAACTAAGCAATTAGGTTAAGAGCGGTTGTAGGGGATTTTAATCATTTCTTCGTATATTTAGCAGAGTACTTTTTAGTACAGAAGAGCGCGCTCCCCAAAGGGGAGCAAGGGGGTAATATTATAGGGCTAGCGCCTAAAATTAAAAACTCGGCTTTACCAAATCTACCAAAGCAGGTCGGACGTATCAATAAGGATGCGAGCCTCCTAATTAGTCGGATCCACATATTTACCTAGCCCGTACGCCCGGCTAAAAACCTTCTTTCAACTATACCCTTCTAGTACAATCTTCCCTTGCTCTCTTTATTAAATATAGCATTTCAACCATTACACGACTACTCGCTATACAATACTCTAACAGACCCGTTACACCGGGTAGGAACTTATATAGGAATATCTACCGTCCGAGAGGCGGAAGGTATTTTGGGGTTGATTATTTAGAAGGAGGAAGGACGGTAATATATGTAAATAAAAAGTAGGATTTAAAAAACCTAAACTTCCAATCCGGGAAAGACTGGACCGTAGTAATATTTAAAAACTAGAGGGACCTAACAATTATCTATTCCATCTACTCCCCTATCTTAACGTAAAGAACGCTAAAATATTAATAGGGGTTGCCGCTTTTCGAATTCTTTGAATTTAGCCCCCTAATAAGAAATTAAATTATAATTGGAGATTTCAACCTCTATTATCCTAATTAGGATTTAAAGAATAGAAAAGTAAAAAAAAGAAGAAGAATATAATTAGAATTTTATAAATATAGTAAAAATAAAGGAGGTAGTAGAGAAACGGATTTTAATCTTAGAAAGGATTAATATATTGGAAAATCTCGAATTTACTTTTTATAGGTTCGATAGGGAATTTACAAGTATTATAGAGGAATTCGTCCTATATTGGAAGAAAGGTCGAGGGAAAAAGGTAAATTAATAAATATTAGAATATAAAATAGTAATAAAGGAAGTACGGCGAATATATTAGATATAGTTCGGATATTAAATAGTATTAAATTAAAAGAATTTTATTAAAACTATAATAAAGAAAAAGAAAATAATAATGAAAGTATAGTGGGTTATATAGTATAAAGGTATTACGGAGGCTTTAAAGAACCTAAATTGATTTTAGCTATTAAAAAGGTAGGCTTGGATTTAAAATTATTAATTAATAGATCCGCCTAAACTATTAACCCTTTAAATTTATAAAGGGGTAATAGAAATTGGAGATTATAATAATAAGGCCGAAATTTTTATTGACTGTTTTTTCCTAAAGGTGGACGTCCCTACGGACTATTTACCAGATTAAATTAAATTATTAGAGGGCGCTAACCTAATAATTATTAGTAAATTAATTACTAAAAAAATATTTAGAACGTACTTTCCTAAATAGTACTTAATAAAGCCCCCGAAATTAATTAGTATTTAAATAGGTTTCTAAAATTATATAAGTAACTATTCTAGTAAATTATAATATATTTTATATCCGCTAACCTCCGACTCGGATATTTCCTATAACAGTTCAAAAATGCGAAAGTAGTTATTCTTAAAAAATTTAGAAAAAACGCTGCTTAATAAAGGCTAACGGACGTATAGAAGCCTATATTACTATTTAATAACGTTAGAAAAATCTTTAAAATACTTATAGTTAAGAGATTAATATAAGTAGCCGAAGAGTTCAATTTCCTACCGGAGGGTTAAATAGGTAATTGGGCAAATTGTTTAATAGAATTTATAATCCGGGTAATTACCAAAACGGTATATACGGTTTAGAAATTCGGGATTATAATATCCCTTATACTCCTCGATTTAAAGGGAACGTTTAATAAAATTAATTATAAATAATTACTATATACCCTATAGGAAATATAGTTCCTAATATAGATTATTAAATAGGTAGTTAATTTTATTATTAATAGAAGAGGTTCCCTCTTTTTTAATAATAAAATATTCTATCCCTACACTATTATATAAGTATACCTTAAAGCTCTCCCCTCTCCCTTATTTTATTTATTCTCTTTATTATTCTATTATATTAAAAATTAATTATAATCCCGAATATAATTATAATCGGCTTTATAAATAATATTAATATTATTATAGTAGTACGTACTATAAAAGAGAATTACCGGACTTTATAAATAGTATAGGAAATATATTTGGAATAGGTAAAAACGAGAGGTATAAAATTTAAAGCGAATAAAACGGAATTAATATATTTTATACGAATAAGGGTATTAAGGACGCAAATTTTCTAATTCAGAAATGTAGTACTTTAATTAATAGAATTTACGAAATTCCTAAGGGTCTAGTTAAACCGTAAATTTAATTATAGAATTTATATAAAAGTAGTAAAATAAAAAATAAAGACCTAAACGAATATATTTATAAAATTTATAGCAAAGATATAAGGTTATTCCTTTATTCGGGTAGGGGAAATATATACTAAATATATTTATAATACTATTACGTACGAAACTATAATATTTTATTAACCGACCGAAGTTTTTAGGAAATTACGAAGGATAGTAATTAGGTTAGTAAAGTATTAAATTAAATATTTAAAAATTATCGCCGGAGTATATAAAATTATATTAGTATAAAATTTTAAAATAGAAACCTTTTATCCGCTATTTAACTTCTATTTTAATAAAAGGGTCCGAACCTTCGAAGAGAGGTTCGATAGAATAAATTAAATTAGGTTCATTTAGGGGATTATAGTTTAGGTTATGAATTATATTTGAATCTAATAGGCTAGAGGTCGGCTACTTACTAATAAATTAAAAAATAGTATAGTTAAAGTTCGGTAGGCCGAAGTGTAGGTACTAATAAAAAAATTAGTAGTAATAGTAACCGGTCCCCCCTCGGAATTAGGAATCTAACCGCTACTATTGTAAATCCTAGACTTAATAACCGCCGATTGAAAAGAATAATTAGAGGATATAACGAATTGAAAATAGATATTGTACTATAATTACTACCTAATAATAGCGGTAGTTAAATTAAGTCGGTAGTATAAATTTACTATTACTAACCTTACCCCTAAATTTAATAGATAGGCTATTTAATAATATATAATTAATATAAAGGAGAAGAAGGGGAAATAATGGACGTTGGAGGATAAAAATAATGAATTATACCTATTAACTAAAATGAAGAATTCCTTCCTAATTTAAGTTAGGATAGAGGTTATTAGCCTTTAGGCTTTCCTTTACCGGAGGAAAGTATTAAATATTTTAATATTTATCTATACGTATAGGTTTAAGAAGGAGACCTTTACTTATATAGTTTTGAATTGCCTTAATACGGATATTCTCTTTCAATTAGGTTCTGAAAATTAGTTATGAATAAAGGAAGAATTCTAAGAGTATTGAGATAATGGAATTAAAGCTAGGAAAGTCAAAGGAATATTGTTTAGTAATTGAATTAAAAGAGGAGTAGTATAAGGAATTTACAAAGTACTCTTAAAAAGAGAATAAAATATTAGCAATATTAGAATAATAAGATATAGGGATGAGGAGGGGATAATTACGTTAATTATAGGTATCATTTAAATTATAATTATAATAAAAACCGAAGTACTATCTAATGAAGTATTTAATTATATTTAAGGAACTATTCGAATAGTATTATTCTATAGATTTAATTTGTAGTAACCTTATAGCGCTACTAAACCTAGTCTTTATTTAGGGCGTGGCGGCCGGGGGTATCGACGGCTATTGGACTACTAGGAATAGAACTATTACTATTGATACTAGAAATTATATAAATAAAAGTAATAATAGCACTACTACTAAATACAATACGCGTAGGAATAATAGTACTGCTATTAAAGCTGGAAATAATCCGGACTAGGTTTATAACGCTATTACCGGGGAGGGAAGGGGTACGGTTATAACGGATATCCTTTATAATTAATTTATAATAGCCCTTC